GGTCTGGCCAACTCTGCGTGTGGCAGATATGAACTGCTCATCCCTAGGGAGTGGGGACCCTGAACTGCCACCCGGGTTTGAAAGCAAATTTGAGGGGAAAAAAAAAAAAAGCAATGAAAGAAGTCCATAAAGAAAATTTGACAGGTCCTTTCTGAGTACCAGTCCCCTTTCCGGCGCGTATGATCAGATATAATGTAGGAAGATGCATTATAGTAAAAAGAATATGACAAGAGCAGTAATTTCCCATCTGGAGTGCTGTTCAACTGCTTGCAGAAATCTGTAATTTTAATGCATTTTAAACACATCAGGAATGGGAGATGAATTCTCCAAACCAACGAAAATACTCCATAAAAAAATAAAGATAGAAAATACATGCTTCCTTCATGGCAAACTTATCATGGATATTTAATGGTAATGATCTTGGAATTAAGGGAGGGAGCAGCGGGGACCACCCTTTGCTCAGGAGGACAGCGAGGACATCTAGCCAGAGGCCGGGCCCTGGGGCTGAGCCGGTAGCAGGACGGCACTGCCGTGCTCAGCAGCCCGCCGGCCCCTGTGCTGCCCGCTGGGGCCGTCAGTGCTGCAGCAGGAAGTTGGTGGCCACGTTAAGGTCATTATTTGAAGCTCTCAGGGCTTCCAAAGCGTCACCTCTGGAAAATCCCATCTCCATGAGCCGGGCAACCTGAAAACAGAAACAAAACCAGAAAAGCCTGATGAGGCTGACGACACTGCCACTGACCCACCAGCCCCAAAACGTTCCTCGTGTGAGTTCCGTAGGACAGATTAAAGAGCAATAACAACACAACCGGTTTTCATTTTAGTGTGGAATCTGATGCTTATAAAATTACAACCGGCTCACCTTTTACGGTGCTCACTACATACAGCCGATAAATGTGCATTTCCTCACTGAGTCCTCACTTTAGAGACGAGGAAGGGGGCTTCTGAGGGTCAGTGACCTGCCAGGATGAGCAGAGGGCGGCCGAGCTGTGGCGCGGGGCCTGGGAAGCAGGTCTGCACCAGCCACACTCCTTCAGGGTCGAAGTTGACTCCCGAGGAAGAGCCGCAGGCGTCCTGAGGCTGGCGGGCTCCGAGGGTACACGCGCCTTCGCGTTCCTGGCTTGGCTCAGGCAGAGCACGGCCTTGGGGAGCCCGCCCCCAACCCCACCCCCGGCGTCTCACGGCAGGTGCAGCGTCCCCGGAGTCCCCGCCGGCCTGCGGGCAGCAGCTGCGCAGAGGGGGCGAAGCCCGGGCAGAACGGGGTGGAGGAGGCAGCTAAAGCCACCGAGGGCACGGAGGTCGAGGCCTCCATCTTTAAGACCACAAATCCCAGTCTGTGAATGTAGAGGTTTCCTGTACTTTTACATACAGGCAGTCTCCAAGGTCAAAACAGGCAGTGTTACTACAGTTTATTCGTAACCTGTTTTCCCACTTTAAAATGTATTATAAAAACATTTATGACCCTGGACTAGCCGCAGGTGGTGGTGTTTTTTGTTTTTACTTATTTTGAAATATACTACATTTGCAATAATATATAGTGAAAAGTGATACTCTTACAAATGCTGAGATTTCCGGGAGGTGTGAGTTGACAAGGGGCTGGGGACTTAGTCACCACTTCTAACCTTCCTTCCGGTAGAACGCGATGCCCTGAGGCTCCCCAGTGGTCAGAGCCCCGCTGCCTCTCCTTCCCCCCAGCTGAGGGGGGTGTGCGCGGGAGGGCGAGGGCAGGCGGGTCAAGCGGGTGGCCGCAGGGGTGACTGAGACCCCAGACTCCTCGTCCCTCAGGGGGCCTTAGGGAGAGGCTAACCAGCTGGGAGGAGACTCGGCCCACTTTTCAGAAGCTGGGGTTCTAGCTGGTGTTTTTTGAAACTGACGCTCTGATCCCTGATCAGTGGATCGTTGAGACTAGTATTAAAAAAACCACACAGCAAGGATCCTCCCTCCAAGGAACCTCATTCCAGTTCTCCACCTCCACACACGCCTCCTAAGGGCCGGCCTGGGGGAGGAGACCGCCGACTTCCAGCTCAACTTCCGGGGGGTAATGGACCGACTGACTGCTGGCGTGGGCAGAACGGCAGGGATCCCTGCTTCCATCTCCCGCTCTGGGAAAAAGTGGCCCTTTCGGGAGTCTCAGGAACACTTCTTCACGCACTGGCCGGGATGCAAAGCTCTTCCTCAAGGGAGCCGAATCTGAGTCTAACTAGTTACCGCCCGTGGGACTTCAAAGGCCCTAATTTGTCTTTTGAAGCCACAGGAAACAGCCCCATTCCCTTCTCTGCACGAGGCGCTCGAGTGGCCTCCCCACCTCTGCAGGCACGCAGCTCCTGGTCCGTCCCAGGCTGCGTGGCTCCGTGTCTCCCACCTTTGCTGCCGGGCCGGTGTGTCCTCTGCTGGGAGGCTCTCTCCCCTTTGCCTTTGGCCTGGTTAACTCGTCTTTACCCACTGATCTCGCGGCCTGTGTCCCTTTCCCACGTTTCCCAGCCGAGGAGAAACCCAGAGTAGGGGTCTCGTGGTCCCACTGACCGCTGTCCTGTGCTCCTCCCAGCTGTGACTCAGGGCCGACAGCTTCTCCTTACCACCATACTGTAAGGGCCCTGGCTGCCTTCGTTCATCCCTGTGTCTCAGAATCCAGCACTTTCCAGCCTGCCCCTCCCCTTCCAGCGCTCGTCCATTTGTGCTGCTGCAGAGTATGGCCCTGCTGGCGTGGTCTGCCCAGGGCGGAGGGCGGCTAGACGGTGCCATCCCAGCCCTTGGCACAGTGGGTGTGCATGCACGTGTGTGCGTGTACACATGTCCCGAGTGTGTAGCTACAGCATCCTGGGGTGGTGAGTTAGCAGGCCTGCTACAAACCCTGAGTGAAATGCGCTCAAGCTGGGCCTCCGAGTAAGTTTGTATCTGTTCTTCCAGGGATTGGGAGCATCTCTGTCGAACTTCCTCTGATCGTTTTCTAGCCAACCACAACCACCGTCAGCTTAAATTCTGTTGTTTCCTGTGCTAGCTCCCTCAGACTCTACCATCCCCGGATCTGATGAGCGCACTTGCTAAGCTCTACAACTCAAGTCACTCCAGTTAAAATGCCAAGCATTCAAGGGCAAAGGCAGGGCCCAGCACTCACCAGCCCTCCCCTTTCTAGCCAAGCGGCCCATCAACAGGTTTCTTGAATTTTAACCAGTTTCAACCTTCATATTATTATCTGTTGCAATGTCACTACCATCTCTCCCAACGCGGCAAGAAGTGCACATGTCTTGGTGGCATCCTGTGTCAATAGGATCAGTTTGGTGCCTTCAGACCACAAGGCTCTTTACCTCTCACAAGCATCTCCTCGATAATCTATTTCAGGCTCCTGCCACACGTGACACATGAGTTTTGCCGTTCAATAATCAGAATCCACACTCTTGCCTTTCCTTGGGGTCATTTCGCACTGAGTGGCACTCGGAGACCCGCTGGATGTGCGTCAACAGGGAGAGACCACCTCACTGGTCTGGGTACTGTGGCCAGGCTATTTCATACACTCCTGGACGGAAATGACCTTTTACGATGTTTATTCCAGTCACTTCCGGTTAAGGACCACTATCTTTAGTGGAGTGAACGTGGCCAGTGAGGGGGTGGGCAGCTCTGCCTGCCTTGCCTCTGTCACCCACGGACATGATGCCACGGGCCAACGATGTGGCCGCTCTCAGTGACGGTGAACAGTGTGGCAAATGCTACACTCGCTGTCACCTCTGTCACCTCTAGTACTTCAAGCATAGCTAACGCCTGGCTGCTCCTTTGCACCCAGCCGAGAGGAACAAATCCACCTGTATGGCAATTCACGATTCATAACCTGGAGCTGATGCCGTGTGAGCCTCGCCCCGGCGCTGGTACCGGGCGGGGCTGCCGGCCACAGCTTCCAACTGTACTGGAGTTCTCTCTCCACCGACTCCCGAGTCTGGTCCGAAATCCAGGAGATGCTGAGCACAGGTTGCTGCACACACAGAGCAGAGCAGCCGTGGCACTGTGGCCCCGAGGGAAAAGCGCTGGCCAGGCCGCACCCGAGGGGCTGATGTCTGGTGTGAGGAGAAACGCGTTCTCTGCACACAAGGCTTCCTCGGGGTTCATTCTCTCTTCAGAAACACAACCACACGTGCCGTCACTGGCTTTGACAGCTGAGCTGGGTTCTTCACAGGTCTCCGCTGAAAAGGATGTTGGCTGTTCTGTGCAGGCGGTGGCTGAGTGGCCATCACAGCCCTTTGCCTGAAGCTGGCTTTGGAACCTTTTGCATTTCTTCAGGGGTGAGAAGACGAGTGTGATCAGAGGATTTTCACTGCTGGATGACCTGGTACTTTGACCAGATGAGAAAGCTCACAAAGTAGAAACAGTGTTAACGCTATTTAAAAACTGAACAAGCACAGGAAGAAAGGACATCTGTAAGTTTCCCTTAGTGTCCAAAACTGTAAACATCTACAAAAAATGAAATGGCACGCTCGGGCGTGGGTATGAGGATAACAATCAGAAAACCGGAAGAAGGAGAGAGAGAGGGGTTCCGACGGCATTTCCTTGCTGCCCCGTCATCCTGCAGAGGACAGCGCTGGCTGGGGCGGCCGCAGCCAGGCAGGGGGCTGTGCCTCCCTCCCACTGCTGCCCTTCCTCGGGGGCTCAGCAGCGCACGGCCAGGACGGTAAGGGCCGCAGCAGAGAGCTGCAGCCCCCGTGGTGGACACCGAGAATCACCGTCGTGGTCCTCTGTGGTTGGAACTTGTGCCCCTACTACCTCAAGATAATTCTTACTCAAGAAAATGAATAAAACCCCACTTTAACACTCTACTACTCTTTGACACAAGTGAAGTAGGACATTCATTCCAATGAGATTTATAGCAATTCCTCTCAGTTTGAAACACTCCTTTGCTTGTTTTGTTCAAAGAAGACTGTGGTTTTCTTTAACTTCCCTTTAGCTAAGGGTGTCAGAAACAAATCGTTTTTGGGGTTCTTACTTCCCAAATTCTGACTCTTGCAGAAAACAACGTCCACCTGAAAGGTAGTCCCGACCAGTCCCCTGTGGGCTGCCCGTGGTGGCTGGCCGCTTCCCAGGCCATGTGTGCACCCTGCCGGGAGGAGTGACCCCAGAGAGGCCCTGGGAGGTAGGCTTGCCCTTCTCTGCCCTCATTATAGCTGTCATTTGTCACCAGTCAGGGCAAGCTCAATGCCAGACCCCTGTGGGTCAGTGCCACCCTCATTCCCTATCAGCTGACCCCCTCTCTCCTCCTTGGAACTGCTGAACCCCTGTGATCCCACGGTTGGCTGAGTGGACTGGACCTGCTTATCTTACGCTCCCGCCCGGCCGCAGGTGGCTCAGCGGCCCCTCATCTTTTTACTCTCCTGCTTGCTTCAGGGTTTAGTCCTGAGAAGGCCCTGGCTACAGGCTGGGGGGGCTCGTTTGCTTGCATCTTTCAGTACTCAGCAGAATTAGGCACCCCCGAAAGTTGGTTTATTTGACTGCCACTCAATATTTCATTCTAATGGATAACATGTTCTAACACTAGCACTAGAGATTAGAGGTGGAAAGGTCTGACGAAGGACCACCCTCTAACGCATTTTTAAGTGAAAAAAATTGTTCTTTTGAAAAAGAAGCCCTCCAACCGCACCTTCACGTTCAGCCCTGCTCTAACCGCCACTGGGGCACCTGTTGTGTGTCAGGCTCTGTGTCAGGAGGGAAACGCGGCAGAGATGCTACTGGCCCTCATGGAGCTCACCGTCCGCCAGGGAACCAGATGACATGGGCGTCTCTATACCAACACCCAACTTACTGTGGTCCAGATACTCAGAGCAGAAGCACTAAGTTTTCATAAGGTGAGCATTTTGGAGTTTAGACAGGTTTCTCAGAGGCAGTGGTGAGGACCCCAGAGATGAGGAGAGAGACTCACCGAGATTCAGATTCTCTCATACTGAATACATTTCACTACTTATCCGCTATGACTGCGAGGGTCTGTGTGCCATCTCTTTTGGGCCGACGGATATTTCAGAGGACATGAATGGAATCCACACGACGGGTCTCACGTATTATAAACGTACGAAGTGGTACCATATCTCGAGTGGGCAAGAGTCTCCAAAGCACCTGCACTGTAACATGTCCCCTGGGCAGGGATGGAAGACATTACATACGTGGTTATGAGCATAACATGCCCCTTCTTTCACATCGAGTCCACCCTCCAGGGAAATCCAACACTGGGATTCCCTGTTTAAAATCCTGTATTATTCCTTAATGCCTACAGCACGGAAGCAGAGGTCCATGTCCTGCTGAGGATCACTGGGAAGCCTCCCTACTTCTTCCCCACATGAGGCCCCTGCCCCAGCAGTCACTCTCCGCTCCAACCTCACCCACCTGTGCTTCCCCAGATCTGAGGCTTTTCACCAGGCCACATCTTTACAAAGAGCACTGCCCCCCACCCTCCCACACTGGCAATCCTTCAGCAGCATCGGAAGATTTGATTACAGTTGGCAAGAACTGCCCCTGAGCCTGGCTCCACACTGGGCTCTGCACCACGTGCAGGCAGGAATCGCTTGCCTTACCTACCTCCGTAGTTCAAGAACCTAGCCCAGTAGTTAGACTAGGCAGAGCGGACAGCTGATAACTGCTGGCTGACTACAAGGAAGGAAAGACGTGACTGGAAGTGAGGAAGTCAACATTTGTGAAGTCCATGTTTGTCCTCCTTTTGTTAAATGCCAGCATTGGCTCAGTTAGTCCTGTTTAACTTCCTTGTCCGATTTCACCTGTGCGTCCCATTAAGCATAAACCGAAGGGACACCTTCTAAGCTTGGGGAGGGCTCAAGAGAGACAAACTTGGGAAGCTTTTTTCCCTTTCGATTTAAAACAAAAAAAATGAGGCCAATATGACAAAATTTCATTATTTGTTAATTTTGCGCATGGGTGTAATATGAAAATCCTTGGTTAAGAAGAAAAAGATAAAAAGAGACAGAAACGCAGTAATGCATACACTTATTTTTAAGATACTAGTAGGGTTTGGGGTGGCATCTGCAAGGGGTGATGAACTGGCAAAGGTGCTTGTTGAAAAATAGTAGGAGTGGATCGTGAAGAACTAAAAATCCAGAAACTTAATAGCGATAGTAGAAAAGGTGGCAAACATTTCTATGGCCGTATGTTAGAGTCTTACTAGACTTAATGGGGGATGCACATTCTTTCTTATAATATTCTTTGTTTTCAAAATAGATGGACTACATTTCCTATCTTTAATAACTCTCACTAAAATTCCTGAAGTATTTGCTCACATCAGAAAAAACTCAAATAATCATTTCTCTTTTCCTTGGTTTAGAAAATTACTAAGTTTCTTAAATGCATTTAAATCACGACTGATGTTTAAATAAAGTACAGCACATCTAATTGAAAAATTAAGCATAAAAAGGTTTTGTTAATTCAAACTATCTTAATGTTACTAACAAATAATTTTTTAAAAAAATAAATTTATTTATTTAGGTATTTTTGCCCGCATTGGGTCCTCGTCGCTGCGCGTGGGCTTTCTCCAGTTGCCATGAGCGGGGGTCACCCCTTGTCGTGGTGCGCGGGGCCTCTCCCTGGGGGGGCCCCTCCCGCCGTGGAGTATGGGCTCCAGAGCGCAGCCTCAGCAGTTGTGGCGAACGGGCCCAGCTGCTCTATGGTACGTGAGATCCTCCCGGACCAGGGCCCGAACCCGCGTCCCCTGCATTGGCAGGCGGATTCCCAACCACTGTGCCACCAGGGAAGCCCCAAATAATATTTTAGACAGTGTCTAGCCTCCAACTAACCAAAAGATTATATGTAACTATACACTTGTAAACGTTACTGTAAATGTCTTGAGCTAAGAACAACATCCTTCTTCTCTTTTACAGTCTCTTGAGCACCTACCACAAAAACTACTGAGGGTCTACGGAGATAATGTTGAGGGGGACCTCCGTGTCTTAATGCGGGGCAGTCTGTAAGGCCATTTCGGGATAATCAAGAAATAGAAAAGACAAGATTTAGAAAAGGCAATGAATAAGGAAGCATGTTAAAAACAACCTCTCACGTATTTACATCTTTTCATAACAGAGCCAAGAAGAAGTAAATGATATTTAGAACTGATACCGACATCGTGTTAACCTCGCTCTCGTCATTCTGGGAGGATCAAGGAGAATGATTCATTAAAAAAAAAAAACAACCCTAAAGACTTCAGTTACACACATTCACCTTGTTATCATTTTTTGACAGTTTTTTTCCCTCAAGTGTCAAAACTAAGAACTATTTCACCTTTAAATACTTTCTATCGTCAACGGCTGCTCTGTTGTGAGGGATGTGACCTGGGTTCTCAAGGAAACAGTAATATAACAGAACTTTCTTTTCAACTGAATTTGAGAGTATTAGTTTATTTTTTAATCTGTTATTATAAATGCCTTACAAATGCTGAGTTACTCGGCTTTATTTTTGTTTTGTTTTTTTTTTTTTTTTTTTTTTTTTACTCGGCTTTATTTTCTAATCGTGGGGCTAACAGTTTTTTGGAAATTCACTAATGGAGGTGGAAGAGAACTATAGGCTCCTTAATCCATCTCTCAACCCTAACAAGCTGCTCAAAGGATGAGTCTGAGCTGAGATGTTAAGGGTGAGGGGTTGGGTCAGCTCGTCAGGCATATTCCATTGGTTTCTCTCACTTGTGGTGGCCTAACCCAGAGGTAGGTGCCAGTGGGGGCCCTGCCCAGAAGCCCCTCCTGAGTTCCAGAAAAAGTCAGGATACATACAGCTTTGCCACAGAGACCGAGTGCCTTGGGTCGGACTGGCTTTTGTTGGCTCTGGGAACAGGGGATGGGGAAAGTGCGTGGGGTGACTCGCTGTGAAACACTGACCTTGATTTGCTTTAATGAGAAGAAAGCAACATTTGCAGTATGAAATTTAAAAGGGTTGTTACTGAAGTGCTCTCAACCTACTAGCTTAGGTTTTCAGAAACTTTCCAGTGTGAAATAATTACAAACTTCTAGAAAAATTTCAAGAAGAGCACAAAGAACCCAATTACTCTTCATCCACATTCACCAATCATTACTTTGCCACAGTTGCTTTCTGTCTACACACACACACACACACACACACACACACACACACTCCCATTTATTTTTCCTGAGCCACCTGAGATTAAGCTGCGTACATCCTGTCCCTTTAGATCATCCTATTTCCTTGTTTCCTCTAATCTACAATACATACAATATAATTTCAGAATTGCTGTACTCATACCACCAAGAAAGATAAACCCATGAAGAGTTTGAGGTTTGCAGTTCTTTTCTTTTTTCTAAGAGGGCATATTATGTTCAAAAGTTACCGAAATTAATTTTCCCTCTCCCTTTTGATTATATTATTCACTTAAGATACAGCTGGAACATTTATTTCAGTTTCTTTTTAGCTTTATGATTGTCCCCATTGCTGATCTGCTTTTTCAGTATGTAAAACATTAACTTGGTTCCTAAGTGAAAACCATACAAACAGAGAAGCTCCCTGTCCTTCTGCCTCCTTCTCTCCCAGCCTGCGTAGTGAACCAACTTCAGTAAACATGAAATATCACAGATTTAAAAATAAGCGATCACAATGCATTTTTTTTTCAAATTATGCCTTCCTCAAACTCATAAGAACCACAGTAGCCAATAAAGGGCCCAAGTATCTATCACTGGTTTACCTGATACCAGGTGGTTTACCTGATACCAAAATCTTCGTACTTATATGCTTGATTTCTTTCAAGTCTCGTTCACCAAAACTGCTTGGAGTGTGAAGCATGGGTTTAGGGTAAGTACCAGGTGTTACTGATTACCTGCTCCTCCGAAACCTCTAGAGGAGGGGACGCTTGTTGCTCAGACTGCCGACCATCCTGATAGTTTACGTTTCGTCGCTGACGTAGAGGAGGGAAAAGACGGTTCCAGTTGATCATTCCTCCCTAAAAAGAGATCAATGCACAGCGATCAGACAGGGGAGGAGCAGAAACATGGTTACACACTAAAGAGCTTTCTCTTGCAATGCAGTCACAGCTGCAGACTGGAAATAAAATGTCCGATGGACCTGCTGTGTGCAAGCTGAATCAACAGGCTGAAATCGGCAGCCTGCAGTAGGTGCACAGACAGAAAAGAAGGTAGCAGGTACTGACAAAGGGATTTGTGCAATTTGACTCCAGAAGGCAGTGGAAGACACGTGCAGTCACTCCTAACCTCAGCCCCGTGGTGTCCCCACCGACACTGTCCCAACTCCGCTGGACTCGGGAAGACGCGAGTGGAGGCTAATTCAGGACAGGCAACCAGAAACCTGGAGCTTCCTTCAGCAGCTCTTTAAGATGTTGCTTCTCCCCCTTTCTCCTCCAGCTCCTCTTCTCCCTGTTCTTGTTCTTTTTTAAAATTTGAGTAAATTCTGAGCAAGGTCCACGGAGAGAGACTGCAGGTGGAGATAAAACCCAGGTTGGGGGACAGGCTCGGGAATGTGAAGGTAAACCTTACACAGGGACAAGAGGTTCACACCTGTCCTCTGGGTGGCTTTATGGATAACTTCACATTGGTGGCGATGTCATTTCTTGCCTTTTCTATGTCATCAATGAAAAAAAGCCACTATGTGGCTAGACAGGCAGCCTCCTCCACCGCATGCACCGCTTTTTAAAAGCACTGCACGATGCTTTTAAAAACTTGACGTTTTTTACCTATATGCTACCTTTTAAATTTATCAACTTAAATCTGTTTCTGGACGTCTTCTAGTTCTGGAAGATTTAGAGACTAAGAAAACCTAAAATTTTTCCTATTATAATACAGGAAAATTATAATACCTAAACATGCTAGATAAAATTTAAAAATATTTCATATGCATAGCTGAACATAAAGGGAAGACGGAGGCCCCAAGGTGCCAGAAACAAGCTCTGGAAAACCAGGGCAGTAAAGAAGAGATGATATGGTGCGAGGGGGAGCACATCCTGCTAATCCAGAGCTACTTGGGTTTGTTTTTTTTTTTTTTTGCGGTACGCGGGCCTCTCACTGTTGTGGCCTCTCCCGTTGCGGAGCACAGGCTCCGGACACGCAGGCCCAGCGGCCATGGCTCACGAGCCCAGCCGCTCCGCGGCATGCGGGATCCTCCCGGACCGGGGCACGAACCCGCGTCCCCTGCATCGGCAGGCGGACTCTCAACCACTGCGCCACCAGGGAAGCCCGCTACTTGGGTTTTATCACCTATTTGGGTTCAGGCGAGGAGGCCTTGGGTCTGAAAGAGGCAGTGACTTTAAGCTCACTACCTCCTTAAAGGCACAACCTCAAATGGCAGCACCCCCAGTGAGAGAGGATGAGAAAAAAACCAACCAAAGAGCAGATTTTCCTGGGGGAGGGAGCAGAAATCTCGGTCTGCCTGAGAGGTGAGAACTGCAGGGAAATTTGGGGTTCAAGTTACACCACACATCTGCTCTAAGAACCCATCGAAAAGTACATAAAATTCGTTCTGGGATTGGAGATGGATACACCTAAGGAGCCAAGCAGAGGCAAATCTAAAGTTATTCTGGAGAGACACTCTCTCATCCTGGAATTAGATGAATTAGATGGGATTCACAGATACAGCTCCAGTGGGGGAAGCCTCGGACCCCAAACTACAAAACCCATGAGGAAAACACCCATCATGAGCAGGAGTCAGTGTGTACAATAAATAGGAGGATTAGATCCCCAAGGACTCAAATTTACAACATTCTGAGAAAAGCTATAAAATTAGAAGTTTTAAGATGACTGAGATACAGAAGGAGTTAAAAAAAAAGAATAGGACACTATAAAAAAAAAGATAGTTTTTTTAAAAAATAGGGAAACTAAAAATAGAGATATTATGCAAAACTGTTCTAGAGAGATACTGGTAGAAATAAATTCAAATATATTAATGATCACACTAAATATACATTGACAAACTCACAAGCCGAAAGGCTGAGACTGTCAGTTTTGAAATCTCTCCCATTCCCCCCAACCCAACAATAGACAAACTGAAAATATAAAGACATAGACAAGTTGATGTAAAGAGATGGAAAAAGAAATATTAAAGCAAACTGATGTTGCTATATTCATGTCAAATAAACAGACCTCAAGGGCAAAAGAGGCATTATTAGGGATAAAACCACTAAAATACATTGATATTATTTATATATAACATTACAGCATCAAAATACAGAAAGTAAAATTTAACAAATTTACAAGTGAAGTGGAAACATCTAGACATATATTTAATTTTTAGCATATACTGATAGATCAAGCAGACAGACAATTAATAACAATATAGAACATAAATAACAAGTTTGTCTAGATGGACATATATAGCCTGCACTCAATTTTTAGAGAATATACATTCTTTTCTGTTATAAGTAAATTATTTATTAAAAAAGTGACAGTGCACTAAGTCCTATATAAAGTATCTGCAAATACCAAAACATAAATATTATACAGACTATATTCTCTGACTACAACACAACTAAAAATAAATATCAAAATTATAATTAATATAAAACAAACAAAAATGCACACACTTGAGATCAAAAATGAAAAATCATAATGGAAGTTAGAAGATATCTAAAAGTGAACAAAATTGAGACTACTACCAATCAAAGCTTGTGGGATATAATTAAGTAGTTGATGTAATTTTAAAATATTGAGCTTAAAGAAAATGAAGACTGAAAATTAAACAGTTAAATACAATTTAAGAAGTTAGAGAAGGTAACAATGGTCTAAAGAAATTGGTAAGAATGAAGTACAGAGCAAATGTTAATAAAGTGGGAAACAGAGACACAACAGAAGGAATCAATGAAAACCCAATGCTGACTGTTGAAAAAGTCAAATAAAATGAATAAACCTGATGCTTAGTGAAATGACAGAGAAAGAAGCACAAATTATATTAGGAATAACACAAGGAACATAATGACAGATATTAAATAAGAATACTTTATTTGTGCTAACAACTTTGATGAAATAGACAATTTTCTAGAAAAATATAACTTGCTAAAACTCAAGAAGGAATAGAAATTGGTAATCAGTTTTTTTTGTTTGTTTTTTTTTTCTATACGCGGGCCTCTCACCGTTGTGGCCTCTCCCGTTGCGGAGCACAGGCTCCAGACGCACAGGCTCAGCGGCCATGGCTCACGGACCCAACCGCTCCGCGGCACATGGGATCCTCCCGGACCGGGGCATGAACCCCTGTCCCCTGCATCGACAGGTGGACTCCCAACCACTGCGCCACCAGGGAAGCCCCGGTAATCAGTTTTAAAAATTGTTCAGGAACATCGACTAAAGCTGCACATACGTGGATGCCTCAGCAAATTCCATTCCTGGACAACATAAATGCAAACACACGCTCACCAAGGGCAGGGACCAGAACGTTCTCAGCAGTGTTGCTTGTAAACCTCAAAGACTGGAAACTACCCAAATGCCCATTAAGTAGAATGGATACATTATAGTATATTCACATGATGTAGTATTATATAGCAGTTCAAATGAACAAACTACAATTATATGCAACAATATGGCTAAATCTCTCAAATAAAATGTTAAATAAAATAAACACCAAAAAGTACATTTGTATGATTACGTTTATATAATGCTAACTTTTCTGTATGTTATACTTCAATAGAA